CTCAAACCTGATAGATTTAATGAAAAATGGGTCTAAAATAACCAAAAAAATTGCAAAAAATGACCTAATAATTACACAAAATAACTCAAATCTGTCCGTTTTTTAATTTTAACTTTTAATTTTTCACCATTTGTGGGCACATTTAGTATTTCAGCCTCCGATATCATCCAACATGATGTTCAAACTGAACTCATGCCTGCAGATGTTCTAACTGTGGACTTTTATTTATCCTCCATCAGTATCATAACGTGCGCCATCACCATGAAGTACTACGTGGAGGAGAACGTGTCCCAGAGGAGCTGCACCACCATCCGCCACGTGGTCAAGATGCTGGCCACCGTCTCCGAGACCCTCATCTTCTTCTTCCTGGGCGTGGTTACCATAACGACGGAGCACGAGTGGAGCTGGGCCTACGTCCTGTTCACGCTGCTGTTCGCCTTCGTCTGGAGAGGAATCGGTGGGATTTAATAAACACTTATCAGGCTTCTAACTGGAGGAGAAAGAAAACCAATATGAATGTTTGTTTAATATCTTTTGTAGAATTTTCTAGTTTTTAAAATTACATGAAAATATCAAGAAAAAAAAAATTACCAAAAATGAACGTTAATTTAAAATAAAATTACATTTTTAAAAATCCACATTTTTAAAGAAAATCTTAAATCTGACATAAAAGCATTATTAAAATAAATTTCACATTTAATTTAATTTCACAACAATCCCTATAAGCATTAGCAATCTAGCAAAATATATTTTCTATAATTAAATATGTTGTTTATCCTTTATATGTTTTTTTTTTTAAATGTGCAAAATATCAATACAGTTACAAAAGTAAGATGTACATTTACATGTCTGTACCTGTTAAAGTACATTAGCAAACTTAATTTTAAAAAATATGTTTTTTAATAAATTTAAATGTTTAATTCAAATTTAAATTTGTGAATATTTTCTACAATTACATACAATTAGTGACAGTCAATAGAAAAAGAAGTCTTTCTTGTCCCTCTACACTAGAAAAATCTATGAAGTTTTCCTTTTAAAAAAAAAATTGAAATATGCAAAATTATCAGTTAAATAAAAAAAGTACACTGTAAATTTAAAAATCTAACAATAAAATTTTAAAATGTTTTATTGGTGAATAAAACATTTTATAATGTTAGAAAATGTGTCAGTTTAATTTGACAGATTTTCTCTGTTGTCTTTAAATTAACGAAAAGTATTAAAATTACAAAAAGAGACCAGATAAATTTATAAAAATAAAAATATAAAAATATTTACATATTTTATGTAAAATAACATTAAAAATTGTTTACATTTTTTTTTAAAGAAATTTGATATTTTGTCATAAAATTTGAAATATTATTTATCGTATTATATTACTGATATGTGTATATGATGCAATATTAAGGCTAGAAAATGATTGATAATCATCATGATTTATCATGATGATTATTTTCTGTGATTCTAAAGGTTTTCTCGCTGTCTCAGCTGCAGAAATACGACTGTTGTTTGTTTTTACCTTTTTTTTTTTTTAGTAAACTCATTCAGTCTGACATTCCCTCCTTGTCTCCTCTCCTGCAGGGATGCTGGTTCTGACTCAGATCGTCAACCCGTTCCGTACGATCCAGTTCAGCTTCAAGGACCAGTTCGGTCTGGCCTACGGGGGTCTGCGGGGGGCCATCTGCTTCGCTCTGGTCTTCACGCTGCCGGACAACATCAACAGGAGGAACCTGTTCGTCACGGCCTCCATCGCCGTCATCATCTTCACCGTCTTCATCCAGGTGAGACGGACACGACGGAACCCAGCAGAGCAGCTGGTCGGGTCAGAACATTTACACTCATCAAACTGCAGAGAGGTTTGGTGTTCTGGGGTCCGTCTGCTGCTGGACAACAACGGGACCTCGTTAAAGTTAACCCAGGCATAAGAAAAAGATCAATCATTTTCTCTTCTCTTTATTTCTGTTGTATAGATGTTTAGTTTATTTATGATTTCAGAGTTCAGATGGTTGATGGAACACTCAGGATCACAATAAGTCCAAAATTATCAAACGTTTGTTCAAAATAACTCAAAACCTCTTAAAAACTATTTAAAATCTGTCCAAAATAGTTAAAAATCTGTTCAAAAATAATTACAAATGTGTCTAAAATTATAATTATTATAAAAACATCTTCAAAATAATTTTATATCTGTCCACAATATTTAAAAACCTGCAAAAAAAATTTAATAAAATAAAAATTCTGTCCAAAAGAATTAAAAACATATTTTTAAAAAATCATTTCAAATCATTAAAAGATAATTCAAAATCTTAAGATCTGTCCAGTATAATTAAAACCTGTTAAAAATAATTCAAAATATTTCCAAAATAATTTAAAATCTGTCAAATATAATTCAAAACTTCTTCAAAAATATTTTAATACCTATCTACAAAAATTAAAAACCTACAGAAAAAATTAAAATTCAAAATCTGTAAAAAAAAAAACCAACAAAAAAAGTTAAATATCTGTCCAAAATTATTAAAAACCTCTTCAAAATAATTTCATATCTGTCCACAAAAATTTAAAACCTGCAACAAAAAAAAAATTCAAAATCTGCTAAAAAATAATTCAAAATCTGTCAAGAAATAATTTAAAACCTATTCAAAATCATAATATCTGTCTAAAAATGTTAAAATTCTCAATAAAAACCCAACATAGCACTGCTGACATCATTCTGATCAGTTCAAACTTAAAGAATCTAAACAGAACCGTGTCCATATGTTGAGTTAAGAAGAATCAAAGATGTCTTGAACTAAACATCCATCATGAGAGCGTCTCGTGTTCCTGGAACCTCCTTCAATGTCTCGTTCGCTGCAGCTCAGAAACACTTTTCTACTGACGTCGGGTAAATCTGCTAAAACAATGTGAATGTGTGTCTGTGTGTCTCTGCAGGGAATCAGCATCCGGCCCATCGTGGAATACATAAACATCCGCAGGACCAACAAAGACCTGAACACCATCAACGTGGAGGTCCACACCAGGGTGGGTTCTGCTGCAGCACTTTGCTGCCCTCTGCTGGACAAAGTCATTCACACATGATGCAGAAAAAGAGAAATAGTTGTTCTTTAAACACGAGAAACGTGATTTAAATCTATATTTCAGAAACAAACATCTTATATATATATATATATATATTTTAAAAAATAGGTCAAATGTCAATTAGAAAACATTTTTAAACTTTTGTTGTGATGCAGCTGCAGAGAAACAACAACTTCTCTGGTCTTTGCTTCGTCGTGAGTTTGAGATTTGCTCTCCGGCTACGACTTTAAACTTCTGGTTAAGTTTTTAAATGCTAAAGTTTTTAGATTAAAATCTACGTTTCACTGAGTTTTCATCAGTAAACACACAGCAGAGTGTTTAGGTGCTAAAACGTGAGCTGGTGGAGACCAAAACCGGAGCTAAAAGAGGCAAGAAAATGGATTTTAATTCTGGAAAATGTANTTTTGTTTAGATTTTTTCGTATTTTTTATTCCTGCACTTTGATCTTTTTGACTCACGGCTCTTTAAAACAAAGAAACTCCTGCTTTCTGGTGATTATTTCCAGTTTTTCATCTTAACTTTAGAAAATAAACTCACCATGAGATGCAGTTTTTCAGTTTTTAAGCCATAAAGTGTGAATTGAAGCAGCTTCAGCTCCCTCAGATGATTCTGTGAAGCCCCAGCGTTGGCTAACGGCAGGTTTCATGCTTGCTGCAGGAGAACTTGCTGTTCGCCTCCATCATCTCGGCCGTGGATCCTGTCGCTGCTCTCAACGTGTTCGAGGACATCGGAGTCAACGAGCAGCTTTACATCGTCATCTTTGGAGAAGGACTCTTCAACGACGCCGTCACTGTGGTGAGTGGAGCCTCAGGTTGGACGGTTCATTCATATTAATGTTGAGACAGAAGCAGATAAATCACTGTTGTTTGATTCTATAGCAGGTTATTAATACGTCTGCCTGATGGAGGCTGTTTGTCTTTAAGGAAAGACATGATTTAAACCCTTAAGGTCCACTTTAGTTTCACATTAGCAGCATTTAAAACAAGCCAAATGATTTGTTACTGCTGACTCTCTGTAGTGCCGCCATAAATAAACACAAAACTATTTCTTGAGTTACTCTGAAACTTAATCCCATTTAAAAAATGGAAAAATTCTCATTCTTTCATCAGGATTGTCGTCTTTCTCCTGTGTGACTTCTGAATTTTTTAATAATTATTTTTGGTAATGGACATGTGAGATATTAGAAACTGAAGTCACAGCTAATCTGAAAATATNCATCACAACTCACTGAACAGATGTTCTTTGTTTGCGTCCAGATGATGGAGCACGTGGTTTGTGGCATCGAGGACTTGTGTGGTCAGTGGAGTCACTACTACTGGAAGGACAAGTACGCTCTGACTTTAACTGTATCCATGTTTCAAAATAAAAGCTCGGTGAGGTCGGAGCTTTACGTTTTCGTGTTTCCTGAAGGTTCAAGAAGTTCAACGACAAAGTCCTGAGGCGGATCCTGCTGCGAGACAACCGGGCCGAGTCCAGCATCGTGTCTCTGTACAAGAAGCTGGAGCTGCAGAACGCCATCGAGCTGCTGGACACGCCGATGGGAGATCTGAGCGCAGCGCCATCTATCGTCTCTCTGCAGTAAGTGACCCGCTGTGACCTCGTTCAATAACGGCGACGTCAACAAGGCAGCAACGGTTTAATATTAGAGACTATAATGATGCTATAATGAGACTATAAAAAAATAAATGATATTATTTTAGGGTGTTTTTTGTAAATACTGCAGAGGACACAGGCTACATTCATGATACAAAAATAATAATTAAAAATGTTGTTTTATTGAATTTTTCATTTTTATTTTCCAGATTTTTTTTTACATGAAAACACCAAAAAAATTAGAAACAAAAAACATGAAGTTTACATGTCTGATATCAAATTAAAAACCCGTCACTGCAAGTTACTTAAAATATTTTTTAAACAGATATTATTATTTTACATAACAGAATATTTACAATTTTTTTAATTTTATTGTTGCTACACATGTAATTATCCTTCATTAAAAAATGTAAAATCCTAAGAAATAATAATTTTTAAAAATGATGTAAAATTAAGGCCATAGATTATATTTTAATTCTTAAAAATATACTTTAATAGACTCAACTGTTAAATTAAGATTTAAAAATGTATAAATAAAATCATAAAATAAAATACTTAAAATATTCGTAGCATCCTTGTGGAAGTATTAGTACAGAAGCTTTTTTTCTCTATATTTTATAGTAATATCAAAAAATTACAGAAATGAATTTTGAATTTACAGATCAAATGTAAAATAATTAAATCATGTAACAGTGTTAACTATAGAATTCAGATTTTTTTAGGACTTTTTTGGACATAACTTAAAATACATTTACTAATTTATTATTGTTTCACAATTTATCAATTTTATTTTATAGATAAAACTCCTATATTTAAATGTATTATTGTAAATACATTTAAAAAATTTCATACAATGAGTACAGTATAGATAATTCATTATATTATATATATTTATTTAGTATTTTGGAAGTAATTTTATGTTTTTTTTCATTGACATGTTAAGACATTTTTTTGGATTATGACTATTTTACAGTTTTTATTTTACAGTGTGTGGAACTACAGGCTACAGGAGGATATTTAATATGTGTTTTGTGTTATTTATTGTTTATTATATTAATATTTAGTCTTTTTCCTTCTCAGTGACATCTACAACTACAATAGAATGTCTAAAAAACCTTCAATAAATCAACTTGTTTTAATTTTTGCATCCAAACAGCTCCTCATCAGACAACTTCCTGTCATATCGGTGATGTTTTAGCTCCTGAACACAACGTATTGATCTCAGGCAGGACGAGCGTCTCAGATAAATGCACCCAGTGTTTATTCTCAGTCTAATCACGCTGCAGCTGACGAGGCCGTTTTCCGTCAGATGCTCTTAACAACAACAACACCACAACAAAAACAACAACAACAACAACAACAACAGTCACATCTCCTCTCTGTCTCCCAACCAGCGACGAGAAGAAGGAGGCGGCTCGGCCCAAGAAGAAGTTCTTGGCGGCTGACGTGAGGAAGATGCACGACATCCTGTCAAAGAACATGTACAAGATCCGGCACAGGGTAACGAGACGCCGCGCCCGCACCACAGGAAGTGATTTATAGTGAAGGGAAATACGGTTTAATCCCATTTTTACCAAAGACTTTCCCTTCATGTGTGAAGGAATCAGCTCTCATTAGCTCAGACAGTTAACACACATTCAGGTACATTTAATTAGAGAAGCCCTGAAACCATAGAAGTACTGGAGATGCATTAATGAAGCAGAACATTATTTTATTGTTATTTTTTTTGTATGAGACGCAGTAAAAACGGAAGTTTACTGACATGAAGTAACGTTTTCAGACTTTATTTAAATGATGTTCTTGCATTCTTGTATGTTTCTCGAGGACGCATCTGTTCTTCAGATAGTTTTTTGATGCAATTTCTGCTTAAATGCACCAATTTTCTGCCACTTTTATCAGATATTTTTCTTGCCATTACCAAATCCTAGCTTATTTTGATTTTATTCAACTCCAGATGTTTAGTTTCACCTTTAGAAAATCTTTATTAATCCCCTGAAGCAGCTGGATTTTGGCAAACTGGAGCAAGTAGTGAATTTTTTGGGGACTACTTTCAGCAGCGGATTAATTCTTTTGGTGCATCAGGATGGATTAAACAGATAAAATACTTTGATTAGTTGTTGATTTGATCGTTACTACGACTTGTTGATGTGTGATATTCATAGTTTTAGCCTTTAAGGAGGAGAAAGAAACTAAATTTGATGTCATGGTGAAATGTTTTTAATCTTATTTTGCAGTAAACGTGTAAAATCACGCGTCATCTTTGCAAAATCTTTCATATTTTCACTTATTTCACAAACATCCTGTTAAAAATCTGTTTAATTTGATCATTTCTTTCAGTGTATTGGATTAATATAATGATAAAACCAATATTTTTCTACTTTAATTAGCATAAAACCTGACTTTCTTAATGTTTTTTTCCAGACGATGGCCTACACCAGCAAATACAATCTGCCCGACAACAGCCGAGCCCGAGAGATTCTGATTCGCCGCCACGCGAGCATCAGACGCAGCCTTCGACCAGGAAGCTTCCGCGAGTTGGTGGGTTTCGGTTTTAAAGGACGTCACACGTGACTCGCTGCCTGTTCTCACCTCCTCTGTTCCTCCTGTTTCAGGGAGAGCAGAACATCCCGCGGGCTCAGAAGTATTACTCCCTGCAGCCTGGAGGAGATCTGGAGTCAGCGTTCGGCCTCAGGAGACGAAGTCATGGTGGGATTTTAATGTGTATTGATTGTTGCATTAACAAAAAAAACACCAAAAATGACACCATTTACTCGAAAAACAAAAAAAGAGAAAAATGCAGCAGATATTCATCTTTCCGACGGTCTTTAAACTCATCATGTGTGACATACGGTTCAGTTAAAATTAATTGTGATATTTCATGAAAATCACTTAAAAATTTGCCAAAAATACACCATTTACTCAAACCACATTCTGTCAAAAACAAAAAATTTTCTCCTCCTTGGTGCAGCTGTGAAGCCATCAGTGACTCAGCTGTGAGCAACAGTCGCGTGACAAAAATCCAGACTTCTGGGCTGAGCTGCAGGTTGTGTTTACGCAGATCAGACAGGAAACAATATGAAAACAAAGTTCAAATGGAAGTAGTAAAATATCTATAATATGTGGAGACACTGTTCTTTTTTCCAGCATCGATAACACTTGTGGGCACTTAGCAAAAAGTTTGACACGTTGATTCCAGGTTTTTTCAATTTTTGTAAAATATAAAATCAACTTTTTTAATGGATTTTTTTCTGATTTATGGGACTATAAGTGTGTCACACTGCATAGAAGACATTTCTGAGTTCTTTCTCCTCTTAGTCCTGGTTGTTCTGTTTCCATAGAGGTACAGGACTTTATGTTGCAGTGAAACATGAACCCACTGTGAGGAAAAATGTGACAAAAACACCCAGAAAGTAATCCATTGACCTTCCTTCACTGATCTCCTCCTACCAGGTGGCGATGAGGTGGACCGCCTCTCGGCTCGCCTCCAGACCTCCGGTGTTTCCTCGCGCTCCTCTTCCCGCTCTCTGGTGCCCATGAGGAAGCTGAACACCATCCAGGAACAGAGGAGTCCAGGGGCCGCCTCTGCCCACCCTAACCCACCGAGCCATTTGGACGAAGGGGCCTCTGGAGGTCCGTCCGGTTCCAGCCTCAGAGGCAGGAGGGCTCCGGTTCCTGCGCCCAGGAGACGCAGCTCGGACCGGGAAGACGACTCTGAGCATCCAGGAGGAGACGAGGAACCGGTGAACCCTGGAGGCTGGGTACCCGACGACGGAGACCCCCGAGAACACGAGGCGGGACTTCTTAGACACTCGTCAGTGAGGTCTGGAGGCTCGGCGAGGTTATGACGGACAGAAGCATCAAGCTTTAGATGTTGTAGGTGGACTCACGTCTGCTTTGTACACACCGTTAATGACCGGGGACAATGAGACTCTGATGGCCTGGTTACAGACGTCATGAGGACTGATCACAATGTTTTCTTGATGCTCTTTGGAAGCATATCGACAACATTACACATCATGATGGAGCCAAACCACTTCCACACTTGTTCTATTGAATGTTGGGTTGCATATACTCTCAGAAAGTCCAGTTTCCAATCACACAGGCCCATTATTATGTACTTTTAAGATGTTTTTATATGTTTTTTGGCAATTTTCATATGATTTCCTTGTTATTTAAATTGAATTTTGAGCTTTTTGCTGTTGGAAGTTGAGGGGAATCGAAATCCTGACGTTAAAGTGAAGACGGATTTCGTTAAAACGCCCGTTTTATGAGGTTATCACAACTTAAATTTAGTTTTAAATCAACTGAACCAGAAATTTAAGTTTAAATCACACACAATATTAAGCAACCTTATTATGCAAACCCAACTCATTGACATTAACCCACTTCCACCTGAAACCTTCCACTAAGAATAAAATGTATTTTGCATAGAACTAGAATAAGCATGCATCGTTTACAAGCAGCTACCTTTATTTTTTTAAGCAAAATAATAAAAAATAATCAGAAAAGTTCAACTATAAGAATGCAGCTTTTCTTCCGTCCATCCCAGTTGTGTTCTATTAAAGGAAACACGGCAGCCATGAGGGGATTAATGTGCGATTAGCCGAGCTGCCAGTCAGGCTGAAGCATCGCGGTCACTTCATGGTGTAAACATGTTAGAAATAGAAAATCTAATTCTGCTTTAAAAAGTGCTAATACTCGTTGTTTAGAGCCCAATCTAATTAAACTGATGGCGGCAGCAGCGTGGGCTGTACGAGGACGACCGTGTTGTGATGAAGTATCAGCCAATAAGTTGGTGAAATCGACTTTACTTCGCAAGGAAATCGACATAAAAGCTGGAAATGATTAAAAACTTGGACCACACAAAAGCAGCCATTTGTTAAATCTGCCGCCGGAATTAGCCGCCGCAGCGCTGCCAAACTTTAAATCTGTGTTTAAGTGTTGAGTTAAAAGGCAAAAATCTAAATATAAACGGTCTCCAGGGTACTGCCGTTCATTTATACTTTACAAAACCACAAACAGAAGCAAAAATCTAAGACAATAAACAATCTGCTCCAAAGCAAGCTACAGTGTCTTAGCATGTGTTGCTAACTAGCTTACAACATCTGTTGAGTTACTAACAAAACCCAATAAGTAATGTTCTACATTATTTTGTGAGGGTTTCAGTTAAATTTAAAAAACAAAAAGCCCGTCCATGACTTCACAGTTCATTTTTCTCACACTGTGTTCAAGTTGTAGCTATATTCAACTTTAGGCTAACGTTAGCGGCTATGCCTAGCGCTACTGGATTTATGTTCACACTCCAGTATTATTCAACTTCCTGTTGTGTTTAAACACCCTGATTAGTTTACTTTAATAAAGAAATGTCTCTTGTATGATCTTGTCAAAATATAAGTTTTGAAAATACGAGCAATAATGCAAACATCGAACCAAGTGTGTAGCTTTAGCCTCCATCTTTTAGCACAATATCAGATATGTACTGTACAGTTGGTTTCCTTTTGAAGAAAAAAACTAAACTACACTAAAAAAACTGACTAAACACAACAACATTAATAGTAAAATTATGGCGATACTGTTAGCTTAGTTAGCGAGTCAGCTCAGATGGAAAATATGACAATATGTCACTGAGTAGAAATAAAAAGACTGCTTTTGTTTACCTATGTTTGAAATAAAAGACCATTTGTTTTTTGAAATAAATTATATTTTTATACATTATAATTATATACATAAAAGTACGCAGTGAATATTGAAGGATATAAATCAATACAGAAAGTTTTTTTCATTCTAGCAAGCTGTTCTAGCTTTTAACTGTTAGCTAGCATATCAGTAGCTAGCTAACACTGGCTAGCTAATGTTCAACAAAAACTTTGGACAGCTAACGTCAGGTAAAGAAACAACACAGGAGACATTAAATTACAACATTTTCAAAGGATTAGATGTAGCCTTGTGGTTATTAGCTAACATTGCTACCATTTGTTAAGATTAGCTAGCAAGTATGTCGTAAAAAACTGCTAGCGAATTGATAAATGTTAATAAAAAAACACTCTAAAGGAAACGCGTCGTCATTTGTCCTTTATGAATGTTATTGTGGATATCTGGAATGTTATTTTTAACTGGAAGAGCTAAATTATAAATATCTGCAGTACATATTGATAGCTATTAAATGTTAACGAGCACTGGAGTAAACATTAGGCTAATTTATGTCGCGCTGTGACGGTAATGAAACATAAAAATTTCCCTGACCTTAACCAAGTGCCTAAACATAACAACAAGTTGGATGTTTTACTGCAAAACCTCACATTTGATCAGAAAAATGACTTCTATATTCCAAATAACACGTCGTCATTTCCATTATTGATCGTCTTCAAGATGCATTTGCTGCTGCAGATTACCTCGACGAAAAGATAATTTCTAGGAGACAGGGTTGTACAATCAATAGAAAGACACTCATCTGTCCTTTCAAGTGATCATCCTGTGAGCGTAGCATCCACTTTTTAATTTGTTTAACCTTCAGTCGAACATGAAATGATGTAACGGAGACGTGGATGCAGCTCTATCAGCTGATGGGGTAACATTACACCGCTTAAACAGTGCATCTGAAACCAGGCAGAGGCCCCACAGGTGCTATTAAACTCAGGAGAGAGGAGATCGAGCACTAAACACTCTCCCTTGTTTGCTTTAATGCCCTCTTTTATTAGTTCATTGGACTCTCTGACGGCCTTCTACACCCAGATTATCTTTCAGAGTTTGCGTCTTTGTATCTCCCACTCTCAGGGAACGCAAACTATAAATATATTTTGGTTTCTTAAAGGTGCACCAAAGAAATTCTGCAAAAACAATCACAGCAATGTGTTCGAAGTTGCACAAAAACTGCATTCTGCAAACAACAATGTGCAGGAAATGTGTAGAAGTGAGTGTTTGAGTGAAGCTCTGCAGCAGAACAGCTCAGATGTAAGATGTGATGGCGTCGCTGATGACAGCCTGCAGTGGTCTTTACTCTGAGAACAGTGGATCTGCTGTGACGGGAAGCTCTGAGCATCATCTCTTCATCTCCACTGCGAACTAAATACACATCTGCAGTTCATAAACTTTTACTGAGCTCTGCTTGACCTGCTGCGCTTCACTAATACTGATTGAAAAAGACAATAAAGAGGCACAAAATAACCACAAAGAAGCTAAAAATGAAAAAGAGGGTCAAAGTAACTGAAAGAAAGATGCAAAACAACCTTAAAGAGATGCAAAATGATCACAAAAAAAATGCAAAAAACAGCTACAAAAGATTCACCACAATCAAACAAAACAGAAAATGACTACAAAGAAATGTGAAATTGTCCCTAAGAGACAAACCACAAAGAAACACACACAAAAAACCCACAGAGATGCAAAGAAATGCAAAAAAAAAACCATAAAAAAGATGCGTAACAACCAACAAGCAATGCAAAATGATTACAGAGACACAAAGTTACCACAAACGGATGCAGAACACAAAAAATATGCAAAAAGCAATGCAAGATGAACACAAAACCACAGTAAAATACCACAAAAAAACCTCGCAATGACCAAAAAGACACACAGCAACAGTAAGAAGACACAAAAGAACCATGAAAAAAAGCAAAACTGTGAAAAGATGCAAAATGACCTCAAAGAGATCCAAAATGATCACCAACAGTCACCACAAACAAAACAAGAACAAAAGATGCAGAAAAACAAAGAGAAAAGTAAAAATAACCAGAAAGAGATCCAAAACAAGTACAACAGCATGCAGCATGACCACAAAAAGATGCAAAATGACCACACAAAGATGCAAAATGACCACAAAAAGATGCAAAATGACCACACAAAGATGCAAAACAAGCTCGAAAGGGTGCAAAATGACCACAAAAACATGCAAAACCACCTCAAAAGCATGCAAAATGACCACAAAAAGATGCAAAACCAGCACGAAAAGATGCAAAATGACCACAAAAAGATGCAAAACCAGCACGAAAAGATGCAAAATGACCACAAAGACATGCAAAGCAACTGCAGAGAGGTTCAAATATGATCACAGAGATAGAAAGTTAAAAAAAAAAAACAACAACAAAAAGATGACAAATAGTCCTCAAAAAATTAAAAATTAACAGAAAAATGACCAGAAAATGATGCAAAACAAGCACAAAAAAATGCAAAACTGTGAAAAGATGCAAAATGATCATCACAAAATGAACACAACAGGCACAAAAGATGCAGAAAAACAAGGAAAGCAAAAATAACCAGAAAGAGATCCAAACCAGCCACAAAACCATGCAAAATGACCACAAAAAGATGCATAACGGGCATGTAAAGATGCATAATAACCACAAAAACATGCAAAGCAACTGCAGAGAGGTCCAAAAATGGTCAGTTACAAAGTTCAACAATAGCAAAAGGAACAACCACCACAAAAAGATGAAAAACTACAAAACTACCACAAAATTACCAGAAAAAGATGCAAAACGGCTACAAGGAGTCTCAAAAATACCCACAAAGACACAAAGCAACAGCAAGAAGACACAAAACAACCACAAAAAATGCAAAATGACCCCAAAGAGATCCAAAATGATCACCAACAGTCACCACAAAATAAACAGAACAAGCACAAAAGATGCAGAGAAACAAGAAAAACAATAACCAGGAAGAGACAAACCAGCCACAAAACCATGCAAAATTACCACAGACATATAAAACCAGGACAAAAACATGCAAAACAAGCTCGAAAAGATACAAAATAACCCCAAAGACATGCAAACCAGCACAAAAAGATGCAACATGACCGCAAAGAGATGCAAAACCAGCCTGAAAAGATGCAAAATTACCAGAAAACGATGCAAAACAAGCTCAACAGGATGCAAAATGGCTGTAGAGAGTCTCAAATATACTCACAGACGAAATGCAAAAGACACTAAACAACTGCAAAAAGACTTAAAACTTGTGGAAAGAAAACAAAATGAACTTCTAGAACACAGTCTGTGGAGATTTGTGCAGCGTACTTACAATGTCTGACAGAAACGGGGGATAAAAAGGAACAACAACTGCTCTGAGTGTGGCGGTTATGAAGCCGTTGTTCACGTCAGGACCGAGCGTGAATCGGCTGTTTGTCCTGATTGCTGCACAGCTGCTCTAATTAAAGACGCTCCACTGGATCGGCAGCGTTTCATTATTTACCCAAAATCAACTCGCTGTGAAATTAAGTGTGACGAGGGAAGACGAGCTCCTGATAAAGGCTCACACTGGGAGCGTCGCTGTTCGTGGGAATTCTAAATCATGGAGATAAATGAGCCAATTAAAGCTCAAACAGACTCTAGTTTGTGTTTAAACCAAACATCCAAACATCACGTCATTTCTCCTCCACTGGACCAGCCTCCTGCTCAAACAACCAGGCTTTACATTCATATTTCTGTGCTTTATTACATCTTATTGGTTAAAGGAAGCTCCAGAAAGTATCACACATGATACCAGATTTGTCAGGCGCAGGGAAACTTCTGCAGTTTTAATGATGCTTCCAACTTTTTTGAGAGCCTTTAATTACATTTTCTCAAGCAATTACAGCAGCAGAGCGGGATTTTCTCACAGCGCTGTTGTGGGATTTCTGCATGCAGGCATTAAAATATGATCCACAGCGTTGATCCAGAGAGAAATGGGCTTAATGAGCAGGTTCATGTTCACATGTACGGCAGTGTGAAGGCTCAGAAAGTGAAGCAAAATAACAAAGAAAAGCTCTGAACTGGGAAGTATTACCACTAAGAGACTGAAAGTGGTCATAGAAAGAAGCAAAACAATCATAAAAGGTGCAAATTAGCCACAATAAGACACAAAACAACCGCAGAAAGATCAGATTAATAACAAAACGGTGCAAAATAACCACAAAAAAAGTAAAAATTAACTATAAAAAGATGCAAAACCGCCACAGATGCGTGCCAGTTAATCGAAAAGGTGCAAATCTGCTACACAAAGGTGGAAATTCACCTTAATAGCTGAAAATTAATCCGTCAAAAACAAACACAAAGAGAAACAGAACAACCATACAAAGGTGAAAATCAACTAAAGAAAGGTGGAAATTAATCGCAAAAAAACGTAAACACAAAATAATGAAAATCAACTACAAAAAGAAGTTAAAAAATCACAAAAGTGTGCAAAATAATCACACAAATGTGCAAATTAACGACAAAAACATGCAATTTAGCTACAAAAAGATGCAAAACAACCACAAAAATGTGCAAATTAACCACAAAAAGATGCAAAACAACCACAAAAATGTGCAAATTAACCACAAAAAGATGCAAAACGACCACAAAAACCTACAACTTAACCACACAAATGTGCATCTTAACTACAAAAAGAAGCAAGACAACCACAA